TCTCATGATTCAATTTAAGCTCATCAAGTGAAGATTTATAAGCATTAAGCAATTTCTTATGTTCTTCACAAGAGTTCTTTAGAAATGAGTTTTCATTTTCTAATTTCAATGTTTTAGCTTTCTCATTTTCTAAAGACATGGTCATGCTAGCAAGTCTACTAATAAGCTCATCATATGACTCAACATGATCAACCACATTATTATTTGATACCTTGGTGTCACCTTGTGACATGAGACAATGTGGTGAAGTGGATGGGCTTGTAGTAGCATCATCATGGCTTGAGCATGAACCATCATCACCATCAAGTGTGCATGGGGTAGCATCATCACTTGCAACACTTGTGGCATCATCATCAACCTTGTCAAGTGAACTTGTAGTTGATCTATCATCATCATCACTTGACCATGAGGTGGAGCAATCTTCCACAATCACCAAATTGTGGTTATGCTCAACACACTCATGTGCCTCCTTCTTGGGCTCATCCTCCTTCTTGAATTTACCATCATCCCATGTGGAGGAATCACCAAGGTGTCCTTGATGGAGTCCCATATCTCACGAGCGGTCCCCTTGTAGTTTACTTGCTTCATCAAATCAAAATGTAAAGCATCCAATAGAAAACAACAAGCATGTGCATCAAATTCATAGAGGACTCTTTGAGCTTTGGTTAGAGTTCTATGATCCAAGACATGGGAGAGACCACTAGTGACAACCCACCAAAATTTAGGTCCCTTTGCACGAAAATGATCAAGCATATGATTTTTCCAAAGTGCAAAGTTAGTGCCATTAAAAATGTGATTCTCACAACCATCTAGCCCATTAGACGCCATCCTCTCGGGTCGGTGAAGACCACAAATGAGAGACCGGGCTTTGATACCAATTGAAGGGTCGAGATGGCGGACTAGAGGGGGGGTGAATAGTCTTTTCTAAAACTTAATCGCGTCGGCTAACCGATATAAATGCGGAATTAAAACAATCGGTCTAGCCAAGACTACACCCCTCTATATATGTTCACTAGCACCTTGCAAAGATACTAATAAAGCAACTAAGGTGCCGGGCTAGCTAGAGCTCTCCTAAACAATTCTAGGAGCAAGGTCACACAAACCTATGCCACTAGTACTTTAAGTAACAAGGGAGCTCCTATACATGCTAGTAAGCAAAAGCACAAAGCTAACTAAGCTCACTAGCAATGCTCAATAACAAGGCAACCAATGCCTAATTAGAGAGCGCAAATACTTAGCTACACAAACTAAGCAATGTGACTAACAAGGTTACTAAAACCAAATTAGCCACGCAAGGGAGCTACTTCTATGCTACACAAGCAAGAAAGTAATTAGCTAGCTACACAAGCTATCTAATTACAAGAGCAACTACACAAGCTTAAGATGTATATATAAGTAATTGCAAGCTTGTGTAATGGGGATGCAAACCAACGGAAAGAACAAGGTTGACACGATGATTTTTCTCCCGAGGTTCACGTGTTTGCCAACACGCTAGTCCCCGTTGTGTCAACCGCTCACTTGGTGGTTCGGTGGCTAATTAGCATCACCCGCTAAGCCCGCACGTCGGGCGCCGCAAGAACCTACCCCTTGAGTGAGGGTAGCTCAATGACACGCTTTACTAGAGTTGCTCTTCATGGCTCCATGGGCGAGCACAATGCCCCTCACAAGCACTTCTCCGAGCGCCGCACAAGCTTCTTGCGCGCTTGACGGAGACCACCACTGCCGCCTAGGAGGTGGCAACCTCCAAGAGTAACAAGCACCACCGGCTCGCAACTCGATCACCTAGTGCCACTCGATGCAACCTCACGATGCAATCGCACTAGAATCGCTCACTCACACAATCGAATGATCACTATCAAGTATATGTGTGATGGAGGGCTCCCAAGCACTCACAAGCATGGACACTAAGTCCCTTGAGGTGCTCAAGACTGACCATGGCCGAGGGCCACTTCTATTTATAGCCCCAAGGGCTAAACTAGCCGTTACCCCTTCATCAAGCAACGGTCGGGCCGACCGGACGCTCCGGTCCGATCGACCGGACGCTGGACCTCGGCGTCGGTCGTGCGATGCACGCCACGTGTCCCCTCCTTCAAACGCTGTTCATCGGATCTTAACGGTCATCTCGTCGATCGGACGCTCCGGCAAAGAACGACCGGACGCGAAGAAACCTCGGCGTCCGGCCGTTTCAATAAGGTACCGACCTCGACCGGACGCGTCCGGTCACATTTGATCGGACGCAGCCAAGCGTCCGGTCACACTCCAGCTTTCTGCGTCATCAGACGTCGGCCGACCGGACGCACCACCGCCAGCGTCCGGGTGCATTCAGATTCCAGCGTCCGGTCATTGACCGACGCCAAAGATCTTCGCGACTAACTTCGCTTTCACTTCTAACTTCATCACCCTTGCTCCAATGTGCTAACCACAAGAACTTGCATCCGGCGCAATAGAAAATAGGCATTCTATTTTCCCGAAAGCGCCGGCGGGAGGGAGAGAGGGACCCAAACCCATCTCACCCCTACAAACATCACCTCCTTTGTAAATGTGCCAACACCACCAAGTGTACACCACCATGTGTATGTGTGTTAGCATTTTCACAATCATTTCCCAAAGGATGTTAGCCACTCAACTTGCCACGCCACTCGATCCTAGCGACAATGCAAAGTTAGATCACTCGAGTGGCACTAGATGACCGATATGCAAACAAGTTTGCCCCTCTTGATAGTACGGCCATCTATCCTAAACCCGGTCATAAACTTCTCTACACACCTATGACCGGTGAAATGAAATGCCCTAGGTTATACCTTTGCCTTGCGCATTCCATTCCATCTCCTTCAATGTCGATGCAACACATGCACCAACACGATCAACAATGATATGATCCACTTCATATCATCACATGATCATATTGGTTCATCGATCTTGACTCTACTTGCTCTTCACCGTTGCTATCGTCCATCGGCGCCAAGTCTTGCTCAAGCTTCACCGCCACGCGGTCCATCACTCCAAAGCCTTTGACTTGCCCTTCACGCTTGCAACCGGTCCATCAAGCCAAGTCTTGTCTTGATCTTCTCCACCTTGATCACATGACTCAATGTCATGTCTCATGTGCAATAAGCTCCTTCATCATCACATGTGTGAGCTTTGCAACATCTCTAAGCCATTTTTACCTCCATGGCATATGTTGCTCACACACATGTACCTGTGGACTAATCACCTGTGTATCTCACATAAACACAATTAGTCCACCTAGGTTGTCACTCAATTACCAAAACCAACAAGGACCTTTCACTTGCTGGCCTCTAAATGGTAACAATTCAGACATACAATACAAGTGGTGGACTAGGTTTCATCACCTCGGCTGCATGTGCAAAGCACAGCCACCCATAGGTTCCACCTCAACATCATAGACCATGAAAACCCCACATATGTCGTGCTAAAGTAAATCCCAATCTCAAATCATGTTCAACAGTTAACCGTAGCACAAATGTGTCATTGCAATCAGGCAAGAACATGAAGACATCATCGATCAGGACCAAGAACAAACAGATCTGAACCCAGCCATCAACAGATCAAAGCATCACATCGCTATGAGCACGTAGGCCGCCCAAATCAGATTCCGTATAGCCACATCCATCGCTATGAGCACGCAGACCGCCGAAATCAGGTCCCGTGTAGACAAATCCATCGCTATGAGCATGCAGACCATCGGAATTTGGTCCCGTGAAGTTAAACATTTCAAGATTTCACCTTGCTTTGAGGACGGAGAGGAGGAAGAAGTCGGCGGCTTGGGGAGGAGGAAGCAGATCTGGGGAGGGAGGAGGTAGCGGCTTGGGAAAGACGAAGCAGCGACACCAACAGGCCCACGTCCAGGCAAACAAACATGGCAACCAGCACCGCCGGTCGTCCCGAGAAAGACGACGATGGCGACGGGGACCTACACCCTTGCACCGGCGAGACGGAGGAGGAGGAGCTGACGCGAGCCGCGCTAGGCCCGCCTACAACCCCACCGCCACCACACACCGCCGGAGGAGGAAGAAGGATGTAAGCGAACTGAGGAGAGTGGAGAGCGAGAGGGATTGGAGAGCGAAGTGGAGGAGGGGGACTGAGGAGAGCGACGCCTCGGCTTATAAGGGTGGGCGAAACCCTAGCGGTGCGAAAGGGGGGAAATGTCTGCCGTCGCGCGCGAGACGAAGGGAGCAACCCGCCAACCGCCAAAATGAGTCCGCGAGTGGCCGATTTCGGCCGCGCTCACGAGAAATGGAGGGGAGGGGCATTCTCTGGGAGCCAGGCTTGCAGCTGCTTGAAGCAGCGTGCGGCCGAGGCCCAGACGCCCTCTAGGCAAACAAACACAGCGCGGGGCACCGCATATACTATGTCCTGGCTCCCGTCCAGGCAAACAACACACGCCCAATATGAAAGCAAGCTGCTCCGGGTCTCCAATTAGATATTCTTCTAAGGAAAGAACAAAGCGACCACTCCGTACCAGCTGCCAACCAATCGCCGTCGAACCGCGACTCGCAGCATAGCAACGTTGCCGGCGTTGTTCGAAAGCCATTGCGAGCGGGCTTGAAATCAGATGGGTACGATGCATCAAGTGGTGGAGATGGGAGAAGCGCAGCGATGCGCCAGCACGATGGTCAACGGGCCATTTGTGTATTTTGGGGGCCTTTGGGGCAACTAGGCCGGGCTGCAATGCACAACATCCAAGTGACCGCAGACCTGCCTGCATCAGTGAGTATTTCCTGTAGTAGGAGGGAAATGATAGTGTTTATAAACCTGAATCCTTTGTAAATACAGAAGGCAATGGTTCTCTCATTCACATGGGAAAAAAAGCAGCAGATAGATACAGACAGCTACAGCATTACTACATCATATCATATCATATTTATTCACGATTCTACAGATACAAAGAAACAAAAGAAATAATGAAACTACACGTGATCAATCTTGGCGCTACAGATGGGAGAACTCTAACAAAAGATCTCAAGAACAAGGGCTAATCAGATCCAATCCTTCGGGTTTATGCACGCGTCCAGAAGTTTCCATTCCTCAGTCCCTTCTTCCGGTTTCTGCAAATGAAGTTGTATGCTAGTGTTGAGGAACAGTTTCCCAAGTTATTATTAAGAATATAGCAATTTCAGCAGTGCGTTTTCTTCATTTTTTTCCTTTTTTTTCCAGTAACTCTTTGAGTATTCTCTGGTGGAAAAGCTAAGACATGTCGATATGAGTCCACCGAGTGTAATAGCTTACATGATCATACTCCCACCGTGCTGTGAGTGGAAGGGACACGAGTATGCTCTCAATCCTTCCTCCAGTTTTTAGGCCGAATGTTGTACCACGGTCGTAAACCTTCAAAAGACGGGTATGTTAAAGCCAGAAGATAGGCATCCAGGCAAGACACTGGATGTATTCGCCTAAGACCACTTACTAGGTTGAACTCCACATAACGACCTCTCCGCAATTGCTGCCATGCCTTGTGCTCCTCATTGAATGGAGTGTCGTTACGCCGTTCTATGATTGGTATGTACGCAGGAAGTACAGAGTCCGCACATTCTGTAGAGAAAGAAAATCACTTTGGTTATCATAACCGTAACTACAACTCACCTAACTGTGCATATCGCACAGCAATCTAAACACTGAAATGCAACATCTAATTAGCAAACATAACTGGTAGAAAAAAGGAACAGAACTCAAAGCTATATCTGGCAAGAACTTGAACTCATCCTACACACTAAATGTGGAAATTCCATCCCATAACTGAACAGTTTAGAAACCACTGTACCAAGCTAATACAAATAATTTCATCCAATCATTCTAGCAAATGGTTTCACCTGTAGCGAAGTTGAGAAGCATTTCTTGATCATAATCATTAAGGTCATCAAAAAATATTCCACCAAGCCCACGCCGCTCATTACGGTGCTGCATTGAGAGACAAAACATGATAATTCAACACAGGATCCCAGAAACTCTATGTTGAAACATCAACTGGTTCATCCAAAGTTTAAGAAAAGGCAACTAGTATCTTCTCCAGGATTGCCAAACTAGCATGTCCAAAACCCAAAAAAAAATGTCAGGAATTTCTTTCTTTCATTGAGGAAAACTGGAGATATCTGGATCAAGTCAGCAAATGCAAAATCTTGTCATGTGGTCTAAACTGTAGAATTGATTCCTTTCGTAGTTTCTAAAGTAACAAATGAAAGAATTTAAAGTACCTTAATATAAAAATAATCATCACACCATTTTTTGAATCTTGGGTGAAAACTTGGATCAAATTTATCACATGCTTGCTTTTGAACCTGAAATCAGACAAAAAAAATATGTTGTGACAACAAATACAAAGCAGCAACTGAAGTGCTAACTAGCAATAGTTATTAACTAATTGACTATTTTCTCTGTTCTGATTCCTCTCTCGAGATTAGCACAAGGACTTTGCCCCTAAGAAACCCTAAACAATAAAAGGTGTGTAACTGCATGGAATTCTGTTTTGCATGTACTAGTAGTCTAGTACTGAGGTGAAGTGCCCACGTATTGGACTGGAAGACACCCTTTTTGAGAGCAGAGCAACTGTAAACTATATCGAGAACCTAATTGATTCTTTAACTACATTTAACACAGCACTTGACATCGAAGACCCTTGACTAGTTCACATCTAGAAAGTAGAAATGGAGGAGCATAAAAGTAGTACTAACTCCATAGGCTAGCCGAGCATAATACTATCTAGGAAACAATTAAGCATTGCCCAAGACATCGAAGTAGAACACAAAACAGTATTGGGTGCATGGTTTTGCAACATGTAGGGAGTGGTACATACAGAATGGAAATGCTTCACATCCTCTTCGATGATGTATGAAGGAGTCAAGTCAGTACCACCGCCAAACCACCATTGTCTTGGTGCACCAGGTGCATCTGCAGTTGGATGTCATAACAGATGAGTATTGAAAATACCATTTCCCAACAAGACATTTACAATATGTAAAATGATTGTAATAGACATGATCAACTTGGGTACCTTGTTAAAGTAAATAAGATGGGCCCAGTTCTCTTACCAATATCTAGAGGAGTTTATCTATTTTAAGCAGACTCACTAAATGCAAAGCATAAAACATCTAGTTTATACATGGGTCTTTGTATATGAGGGTGGCACGCATATTGAAGCACAAGATCCACTTGGTGTGCAGAATATTAATTACATCATAATACATCACGATTTACTAGGATAGAAGGATACCTTTTGGTGCATCCGTCTCAAAGTAACGGTAGTTAAAATGCAATGTTGGAGCAAATGGATTCTTGGGGTGAAGCACCTGGAAAAGGAAAAAGAAAAACTATCTTTAGTCCATGTATCATAGGGGGTTAACACAAGAAGAGTAAAGTATTGCCTAAGTTGAGTGAAAAAATTCATAAACATGAATAGTAGCAGATCAGCATTATCAGTATCACAAAAAAGGCATGTGCATAGGGTCAAGTTGTAGCACTGTAGCAGTGAAAAGATACACCATATATAGCTACAATAGGGTCATTATCCGACTATAGCATGCAATTATCAATATTGAACAAATGGGAATCTACACACTATGAATGGGCTCGAAAAGCCAAAACAGCAAATAATTGCTAAGGTGCCAACAGGTCCACAAGCATCCTGATTCCTTGCGTCAACTAATACAAATGCAAGAGGACTACATATACTGGGTAACTGGGAGCAAGGGGCAGCTAAACACTAAATTCCCTAAGCTATGGCATTGCAATGTCTGCGTGCAACTGAAGAATCTACATAACGATAGCCAAAATGGAGAAGAGATCTAGGTCCGTCAGGTCAATGCAGCAGGAAAGCCACTTACCGAACTAATCCCCGCGGCGAAGAATGGCACGGGGCCAGGCTTCTGGCCATCCGCGGCGGCGGCCCCGTTCTTGCCGGCCTCCCCCTTGGCGGCGCGGTACGCGTCGGGCGGCATGACGCCGTAGACGACGGAGACGTTGACCCCGGCCTTCTCAAAGACGCGGCCGTCCTGCAGGACGCGGCTGATGCCCCCGCCGCCGCCGGGGCGCGACCAGACGTCCTCGACGAAGCGCGCGCCGCCGCCGTCGGCCTCCTCGAGAGCGGCGCAGACCTCCCCCTGCACCCGGCGGATCATGGCCTCGAAGCGCGCCCGCACGGACCCGGACCCGGCGCCTTGCCCGTCCTCGCGGAGGAACGTCGGCGGCGGCTCGCTCTCCGGCGTCTCCTTCTCAATCGCCACCGACGCGCGCACGCGGAGCGCGCAGCTGCGGCGGGGGGCGACGCCGCGGCCGAGGCCGGCGCGCGGGAGGTGCGCCTGGGCCGTTGCCCGCCCGCGGAGGCCTGCGGGGGCCGGAGCCGGGGCTAGGGTTCGGGACGGAGTGGAGAGGAGGGAGGACGCCATTGGGTTTGGGTGGGTGGGTGGGTTGGTTCGGCGAGTGGTCGATTAGTGGTTTTATGTAGGCGGCGGTGGCCGCCGGTGGGCGGCGCGGGCGGGATGCTGCCTGCGGTTTTGCAGGTGGGAGAGTCAAAAGAGAGGGAGGTGGAGGTGGAGGTGAGCGGGAGCGGGAGCGGGAGCGGGATGCTGCCCTCCTCTGCTGGCTTCCAAAGGGGATAAGGAAATGGATCATGTTTGTTCGAGGCTTTCGGGATTTTCAGATTCTGCGAGAGGGATGCGATGCGATACACGAGCCTGCTGAGGGATGCGACTATGCTAGCCTGATGTGACAGTCTAGAATGGCTTCTAATAATAACAACGTGATGATAAAATGGCTTAGAAATTGGATTTATATCTTGTTGCCATTCATGTCCTGAACCTGTTATGTTCACTCAATCATTCTAATCAGGATAGGTTCACGAGGTTAAGTGAGACCACTTCATGGCGACAACAAGAGTAACATAACATAGAAAGCTGTTCCACATGTTCTTCTTGTGTTTACCGGACCAGGTCACTTGTTTTCTGAGAAACGGAGCGAAACAGTGGTCGCCACACTGAAATGTTGGCCTCCCGACGACTCCAGTTGTACCATAACACATGCAGTCATGCACAGCATGTTGAAAGGAAAAAAAGGGGTGATTTCGGTGTCAAAGTCAAACCGTGGAAGATACAAATCTGTGAGTTCTAGATTTCGGTGTGCGTGAGCGATGGCACATAGCTTCAGCCTTCATTTTTAAGTAACGGATTATACTATACTGAAACTGTCAACCTGCTATTCAGCCACCCGCAGAAATTCAAATTAGGAAACATAATAGGATGCGTTCTGAGAGAAAGGGAAAGGGGGAAAGCCGAAAAGTCAATTGGTATGCACTTTTTCAACTTGTTGATAGAAATTGAGAATGCTGACATATCCATCTCGTAGTCTCGAAGTGCAAAGGAAAAGGAAAATTACCATTCACAATGCTGGCACATTCTACGTTGACGTCGTATCGCTCAAGATGTGTTTTTTTTTTAAAAAAAGGAAAAATGATAGGATCTCTCAACTTGATAATGTGTCTTTTGGTTTGTACAGAAAGAAGTTTGCGTATGTAACAGGTGTAGCTATCAAATTCTCAACAGACTACCGATTAAACTAAGCTTTATACGTCCCATTTCACTCTCCAAATCGGTGTAGAGTAACACTGTGGCGAAAACAGCTTCAGCTATCATTTTTTTTATCATGAGCAGATTCTCTGACGAAGTTGAAGTTGTTTTTTCTTAAGATAGTTTTGTAGAATAAAATCTCTATAATACCCTTTTTTTTTTTTTTCTTTATTATTCCTCTTTTTCTTTTTCATCTTATTTTCTTCTTGTTTTCTTTTCCTATTCTCTCTCTCCCTTATCCTATCTCTCCATCCGGCGTCGCACATGCTTCTCTGGCATCTCCCAACTGCACGGGACACGGACGCCATCTCGCACACAGGTCCTCCTCTACGCAGCGGACTCCACTCCATCCCTTCCCGTATCACAGTTAAATACAATAGCGATCCTTAAACTTATAGCGTTTTATCACTGAGGTCCATGAACTCTGAAACTCGAAATTTGACCCTCCGAACTTATTAAGTGGTGCACCACAGGTCTATACCCCTTCGGATGCACTGACTAGGATGATTTTTTTACAAAAAGCCCCCTGTTGTAGACATGTTCTACCTCCGGACGGTCGTGGCATCCGCAGCTGTCCGTCTCCCTCGCGCGCGGCGGTGTCCGCGGCTGGCCGTCTCTCGCGCGTGGCGACGTCCGCGGCCGTCCGTCTACCTCGCGACAGCGTCCGCAGGAGCTGGAGGCTCTGTAGGCGGAGGCGGCGGCGCCGGCACGAGCCGAGTGGTGGCGCGAGGCATCGAACGCGCGGGGGGCGGGTGCTGTCGCAGCTGCAGAACATGACTGGGCTCACGACACTGTATGACTTAGCGAAGCAGCGGGACTACGCGACGGACGTCGTGGTCACATTCCTAAACCGCGTCGAGGGCAAGACGACGTTGGGCGCGCGTTGGGAGTGGAGTGGCGTGGGCGAAGTACAGCGACGTGGTGGCCGCGGCGACGCACGACGACGTAATGTGCTACAGAGGCGCTCGCGTGACGTCGATGTCGAGGAGCGCAACGCTGGAGAAGCCGTGCACGACCACGACAACGCTGGACCAAATGCCGGCGTTGCTCTTCGGCAGGCAAGCGGACCTTAAAGAGCTCGTCCTCGTCAACCTTGGACTGGACGTCGGTGACCTTGGCATTGAGCATCGAGTCGAGCAAGATGGTGCTGGACTTGACGTCATAGTGCACGATGTTGCTGTTGAAAGGTCCTAATGGTTAGAGAGGGTGAATAGCCTATTAAAAATTTCTACAACAACACTCAATCCGGTTAGACAAATATGAGGCGAAGCAGGTGTTGCGCTAGCCTAAAAAAATGCAAGCCACCTACCACAATTCTAGTTTATATAATCTCTATCCACGCAATAGTTATGTCACTACACTAAGTTAGCGTGCTCTCAAAAGCTAACTAAAGAGCCACACTAACTAAACTAATAAGCTCTCACTACTAGCTACACTAAAGAGCTTGACAACTAGTTTACGGTAATGTAAAGAGAGAAAGCAAGATGGTTATACCGTCGAGTTGAGAAATGAACCAATCAATCACAAGAATAAATACCAATGATGATCAATCACCTCGGAATCAAATGATGACATAATCAGCATGTTCGCTTGTTGGTTTCAGCCAGGGCTTATCAGTCAGCCAATAATGTTTTTCTCTCACAATAAACCAGCACCAACCGAGTTTATCAGCCCAGAAACCAACCAACAAACGTGCTCAATGATTTTTTACCGAGGTTCACTTGCTTGCCAGTAAGCTAGTGCTTGTTGTGGCGATTCACTCACTTGGAAGTTCACGCGCTAATTGGCATTACACGCCAAACCCTCAATAGGGTGCCGCGTAACCAACACAAGATGAGGATCACACAAGCCACGAGCAATTTACTAGAGTACATTTTGGCTCTCCGCCGGGGAAAGGTCAAGAACCCCTCACAATCACCACGATCGGAGCCGGAGACAATCACCAACATCCGCTCGACGATCATCGCTGCTCCAAGCCATCTAAGTGGCAGCAACCACCAAGAGTAACAAGCGAATTCTGCAGCGAAACACGAACACCAAGTGCCTCCAGATGCAAACACTCAAGCAATGCACTTGGATTCTCTCCTAATCTCACAAAGATGATGAGTCAATGATGGAGATGGGTGGAAGAGCTTTGGCTAAGCTCACAAGGTTGCTATGTCAATGCAAATAGCCAAGAGAGTGAGCTTAACCCAACCATGGGGCTTAAATAGAGAGCCCCCACGAATAGAGCCGTTGGCTCTCTGTACCCTGAAAAGTCGGGTCGACCGAACGCGCCGGTTAGATCAACTGGACGTAGGACCCCAGCGTTCAGTCGCATGATACTTGCCACGTGTCATTGGCTTTAGACGCTGATCGCCCGATTTCAATGGTCACAGGGCACTTAAGTTGTGACCGGACGCGCTACAGTGTAGGACCGGACATAGGACCCCAGCGTCCGGTCACTTCTAGTAAGGTTCCAGTCACGACCGGACTCACCCAACATCCGGTCAACACACAGACCAAACCCCCCAGCGCCACGTCATTAGCACCGGACGCGCCAGAGTAGCGTCCGGACAGTTTTATCAGCCAGCGTCCTGTGCAACTCAGAGAGAGTCCAGAGAGCTCTCTGAGCGACCAAACGGGTCCGGTCAGTCTCTGCTGACTGACCGACGCCTAGGTTTAGCCACCGGACGCGTCCGGTCCCACGAGGACAGCGTCCGGTGCACTCTGTGAAACCCTGTCTTTTCTGTACAGGGCGCCGATGGCACCTTCGGACACTCCACCGATGAAGTTTGAACCCTTGCTCCCAAGTGCTAAACACAATATGTATCATCTTTGTGCATGTGTGTTAGCATATTTTCACAAACATTTTCAAGGGTGTTAGCTCTCCACTAGATCCTAAATGCATATGCAATGAGTTAGAGCATCTAGTGGTACTTTGATAACCGTATTTCGATATGAGTTTCACCCCTCTAATAGTACGACTATTGAACCTAAATGTGATCACACTCGCTAAGTGTCTTGATCACCGAAACGAAATGGCTCCTACCATTTATACCTTTGCCTTGAGTCTTTTGTTTTTCTCCTTCTTTTTAAGTCCAAGCACTGATCATCACCATGGCATCACCATCATCATGTCATGATCTTCATTTGCTTCACCACTTGAAATGTGCCACCTATCTCATGATCACTTTGATAAACTAGGTTAGCACTAAGGGTTTCATCAATTCACCAAAACCAAACTATAGCTTTCAGCTGTGCCGGATGTGGCCGACGATGTCCATCTCTGACGTGAACTCGCACTCCAACTTCTTGTTCAGATCCCACGTAGCACGGAGGCCCATCATCAGCGAGCACGCGCAGCACGTAGGCCTCGCCGAAGTTCATGGGCCGAAAAGCGGTGAGCTTCCCAGGCTCCTCGATCTGCGCGAGCCGCCGCTTCCACCTCTTGATGTCGCGGACGACGACCGACGAAGAAGGCTAGTGCCGCGATGAGGACGATAAGCGCGGCGCCCGCGCCGAGGAGGCCCGTGCGGAGATTCGGCGAGACATGGTCGCCTGGCTATGCTGCGCACGAGCTCCGGGACGCCGTCGACGACCTCGACATCCTGGTCATGTCGCGCGAGGACGCACACTCGACGGCCGCAGAATGGGGAGAGGGAGCGATACCCGCAGTGCACGGACCGACTCATGAAACGGTCGTGCTCATCCGCCCCTGCAGGCGTCAGCCTAGGCGGGCTCGCGGCCTGCGCACGCGCGCTCGCCAGACACAGGGTCATGGACGAAGCATAGAACAAGGGAAGCTGTTCGCGGAGCTGCTCGGGGACGACATCTTTAGCTCC